TCAGCTCAGTCCTGGTGCCCAGCGGAAGATGCGGTCCTTGTTGACCCGGGCGATGACCGATCCGGTATGGACTGAGAAATGGCTGTCATTTCATGTGGCGTATCATGGGCAAATAAAGCCTGGCGGAGCCCATTCCTCTCGCAGCCTGGTTTGGGTTTGAAGTTTTCCTTCTTCTAGATAGTAATAGTGAGTTTATTTATATAGCGTTATTTCTCTAACTGCTCATAGCGCTTTACAAGTCATTATGCAAAATCTATGCTACAAAATCTATTTACAAATCTGTTTACAATGAATACTCTAGAATAAACTAGTTACATATCATTAGCAAATTAAAAACTCGGACATTACAGATGAAATAACGTAAAACAAATTTTAAAAGTAAACTTTCTTAAAGGGGCTATGTCACCCAACACGCATGCGCAAGCCAATGAAAACAAACTTGAAAAAGACAGCCCAACTTTTTCAAGTTGTGTCGGAGATTTTGGAAGGCTGTTTTTATCTGTCTAAATCTCAGCCATCGTTCGATAGTTAGCGAAGTTTTGTATTAAGAATCATTCTATGGTGATTACAGAACAATTTTTTGGCGTTATTTTAAAATTGTTTGCCTGTGGAATGTTTTTACGTGGATTTACTGTGTCCTCTTATCAGCGGCCGTTGTAATGGCAGAGTTAATGACGGCTACTCCACAATGAGTGATGGAATCTTTGATGGAATCTTCCCTATAGTTCACAGGACCTTTCTATTGAGTTATTTTAGAGGCTGCTGGCTCTTGGATTTTTCTTGTGCTCAAAGTATGTGGACATATAATGAAGCGGCTATCGAGTTGGCGGCGGCCGTTTTTTGTAACCGATTACAAGAGCATCAGGCCATGAGTTTCGTGACGAAACTAAACTCCTGGCGAAGGAAACATTCTAAAATTCGGCTAGATTCCTTCTTGTATTTATCTCGATTCACGGCAAAGATAAACACGACCGTTTGCTCGTCCAGATTGTTCTCAACGGACTTAGAGAGGCACCTTAGTACGAGTTAGATCCTGTAAATGCCATGTTTTTGAACTGTTTGTGTTGGAGCATAATTTTGGAAAATAGCAGAGTTTGCTTTCCCTTTTTATCAACGGACTGCTTATAGTGGAGTAGTATACCAATGATGCTGGGTTCTGTTTTTCTCGACGTCGCAGTGATTCGGCACGATCGAACAATTTTGCGCGATAATGTGTGTTTCCCTAAGAGCAAAACAAAGACTTGGTCTCTTGTTCTATCAGCATCTAAATTATAAAATCAATAGCGACAGACAAGTCTAATTGTTAATGATTTGAAACAGTCTTGGTCTTTATCTTCGGTCTACCGTCTTTTGTAGCTCGTTTGTAAAATACAACTTCCATTTATTTTGTTGAATAAGACAATATGGTGTTGTTGAATTTTTGTTTGCGCTCTATTTTATGAATGGCATGCGTTTTTACTTCAAAACTACAAGTAAAATTCTCGCCGCAATTTTATTCTTCATTTAGCATAACCAGAGAAGAAACGTTCCATAAATTCTATCGAAATATCCCTTATCTAAACCCATTTCGCTAAACCTCTCTAAATTCGGAACCTTGGACGTGACAGAGAACATGAAGAAAGTCACGCGTTAAAAACAATAGAATTTTGACAGTTGAAAGTAATTTGCATAACCTCACAGCGCACATGGAGAAAGTCACGCGTTAAAAACAATAGAATTTTGACAGTTGAAAGTAATTTGCATAACCTCAGAGCGCATGCTCTCCAGCTGACATAGCCCCTTTAAAGAGATGAGTTTTCAGTTGAAGGCATTAATGTCGGTGGCCTTTCTTAAGGAAACTGACAGTTAATTCCAAAGCCTTGGTCCAGCAATGGAAAACGCCCCGTCTCCGTAAGTCACAGTTCTAGATCTCGGAACACTCTGAAAGCTCCTGAGAACAAGATCTAATTGAGCTTATAACAGCGTGGGGCCAAAAGGTCGGATAGATAAATAGGCGCCAAGCAGTTGAGTGCTTTATAAATTCATGGACAAATCTTAAAAGTAGTACGTTGAGATACAGGTAACCAGTGCAGCCACTTCATTACAGGGAGTTATACGGTCGTATTTGCGAGCAAGAATGACCGCACGCACAGCAGTCAGGTTTAATACTAATTGCAGCCTATTGATCTGGTAGATGAGCTTCCGGCCAAGGCCGGATAAAGAGCCCCATCTGCCCGAGCCTGGTATCCCGCGGGTTACTCGGTCCCTCAAGCCAACGTAGCCTGTAGTCGGTGAGACTCTCTATTAAAGTTACTTCCCTTCGGTTGGACTTCCCATGGTGACAGCCTCAGGCCCGCCGCAAGAGGAGTTGCTCACATTTGTCGGTAAATTAAGCTTGACATAAGGGACCTTGGAAGGCAAGCCTCCGTGACGTCACTTAAAGTGAATGGCTTGACGATAACCAATCCAGAGGAGATATCAAACGGGTGATGATATTTCCACCACTGGTCCAAAACTTGCCAGTGAGATTGAATCCGATAGCAGAGACAACGAAAGGTATCTCACTAGCACTGATAAACGAATCTCGAATCTAATGCCAACAAAGTCTTCTCACTTATGAACAAACTAAACAAGTCTAAGGCAACTGGCCTGTACGGAATATTTGGCTAGGCTTATTCGGGAGTGCGCCGGTCATTTCTAAAATTTTGACAAACAAATAGCACCATGTGAAAGTTCAGGCAGAGAGCTTTGATATGAATGGTTACATCATAGGATTTCGCCCACAGCCTCAAAAGTTAGAGTCACCTTACAAAACTCCATCAAGCACTCTGGTAGTGAAGGGGTTAGCCTATATGCGATATTTTTAACCAACCTATAAGCCAGGGTAAGTTAACAGAAGACTGGAAATCTGCTAGACTTGCACCCGTATTCAAGCAAGGTGATCGAGACGAGGTAAATAATTACCATCTCAGGGATCTCAGTCCCAGTTGTGGTCAAGGTATTGAAGGGAAAAGTTTACGAACAATTATATGCTTATCTAGAGGTACGATATGTTATACAAACATCAGTCGGGCTTTCGTGCTATTTATTCAACTGTTACTGACTGACTCCTGGGCATATAGAAATCGGGAAAATTAACGCAGTTATTTTTCTAGATCTAAAGAAAACTTTCGATACCGTTGACCACAAGATTCCTTTATTTAAGATTAACCATTGTGGTATAAATGAGGATTCATTAAAATGGTTTCAATTATATTTCGAGAATCGCCCACAGCAATGCTCAGTTGGTGGGTCTTTATCTGAAAGCCTTGCTACTTCCTTATCAGTGGCAGTGAATGGTACTCGGGTGAAACAGGTTGCAAGTGCAAAATCACTGGGTGTGAAAATTGACGATAAACTTAGTTGGAATTACCACTTTGAAAAACTGACCAAAAAGATCGCTTTTGGAATCGGGGCCATGAAACGTGTTAAAACTTGCAAGAGGTGACAGGCCGCACATCTTAACCGGCGTGAAACCTTTGAAAACCTTTTACATATTGCTCCATTGAGGAGAACTCTTTCAGGGATCTTACAGTTTAAAATTTGAACCATGATATAGCTTATATATAGCAGACCAAGATACAGCTCGATACAGTTTATGTTCAGCAAGGGAAAATTGTGTAAGTTGAGCAGAACCTTTAAAATGTACAGCAGACAATTTGTTCAGTTCGCGCTTATTCCTGCTGAATTTGTGGCCCGCTTATGAGATTTGTCCACTCAAAAATATAATAATTTTTCCATAGCTGCTGTTATCTTAGGGTATCTGCTTTTAATATCTCCGTAAAGTTTAGGTTTACCCGCGCTCAGAGAACAATGTTCAGCTGTACACAGCACGTAGCCTTTAAATATATCCAGATCTAACAGTGGTTTTGTGTATTTATCACGTCTTTAGCAGAAGCATGATTTAAATACATTATGATGCTGTGTCCTTTGAATGTCGTTTTAAAACTCAATCGCTTTTGTAAATGTCTTTTGTAGTTTTAATATCAGAGGAGAGTATTTTAAAGCTCGATATTTTTCAATACCATTAGCATGTTGTTTTTTTTACCAATCAATTGACTGGCTTCTTTGTGCCACTACATAATGTTTGCAGTTAAATATAAGTTTACAAACAAGACCGGCGGTTTCGAATCTTACGATTCTCATCAGTTGGTATGTGGTGGGATGGTTGAGGTGAACTCTGAACCATTCCGTATTGCTTGATTTGGTAAGCGTTTATATAACAGAAGACTGGAAATCTGCTAGACTTGCACCCGTATTCAAGCAAGGTGATCGAGACGAGGTAAATAATTACCATCTCAGGGATCTCAGTCCCAGTTGTGGTCAAGGTATTCAAGGGAAAAGTTTACGAACAATTATATGCTTATCTAGAGGCACGATATGTTATACAAACATCAGTCGGGCTTTCGTGCTATTTATTCAACTGTTACTGACTGACTCCTGGGCATATAGAAATCGGGAAAATTAACGCACTTATTTTTCTAGATCTAAGGGACTGGTCAAAAAGTATAGGGGGGGTGGTCCGGAGCAGAGAGGGGGTGGGTCATGAGGTTTTGAGCCTTGTGCAAGGGGTGGGTCGTGCAATTTTCAGCTACTCTTAGGGGGTGGGTCATTCTATTTTATTACATATTATTTGTCGTTTAGTTGTTGCCTTTGACCCGGATTGGGCTAACATGATGAGTTGTAACTGTATTAAAAAATATTGAGTCGGCACCAGGTAAAGCATTTTTAAAGTCCACAATCTCACATCCCCCCTCCCCCCTCAACTTCACTTCAAAAGAGGTGGATCAGCCCCCGCACTTTGAAAACTGCTCCGTAGGCCATGTTATACCACTTTGAAACACAATAATAGCCTGCGTGCCCTCCCCTTTTTCCCTTCCTGCCTATTCCCTACCCCCTACCCCTTTCGACGCCTGCTACACAGGCTACACAATAATGAAGGGCTCCATGAAAAAAAAAAACGTGCCTAGCCTGCGAGCAAGCTGTTCATTGTCTAACTTAATAAATAACACACTGCAACGGAGAGCTTGAAAATATCTGCGTACTAAAAGCTGTTTCTCTTAAAGAAATCTAACCTAACAAAAAATTAATTCAGACACCTAAAAGATCTCCTTCTTTTTGGTAGTCTTGCAATTTCTTTAGGTTACGTAAGTACTTCCTGAAGGGGAAAATGGAAGTTCATCAACACAGGAATATCTACAAAATTGTTTTTTAGACACACAGTAATTTTTACACCGAACAATTTTACTTTCAAGTGGATAAAGTTCACTTCCTGCCAGAACGACTGCCTGATTTTGCAGATTTTTTGCCAGCTTTGTCAACAGTCTCATTATCAACATTCCTACGTTTATACTTGAACTCCAGCAAGTCCTGTATTTGTTGTATTTTCTGACTGATTGAAGCATTTGTAACAGCTGCTTTATTAACAGCAATGCTTCTAATGATGGAGGTTAGTTGCTCTCTTGTTACATGTTCTGGTAACGATTCAAATTCATAAAACTGTTCTTCCAGCCGCTGAACAGCCTGCTGTATTTCTTGTTCAAAGTATGCTTCTCTTTCCTGTTGGATAATTAAAGAGAATAATTTTGTTATCCAGCTCGGGTCAGTGGGGGAAGTTGGGGGGTTGTACTCCCACACCAAAGGAGACCAATTGGGCATGGCTCAGGCTTGACTAATCCTTAAAAGAGACTTAATCTTCCAATAAAGTGTCACGAGCCAGCATATCACTTCTGGTGGGATTGTTTGATGTGTGGAATACTTTCTTGCAAGTAAAGCCTGGAGGAATTTTCGTGAGCAGAGAAGCCACCGGAGAAAATCACAAGTTTGAGTTTTGCTCAATCTTCTTAAGGCTCTGCCACCAGTAACAACAACAGTTGCCTGCTAATACCATCACCTATGCAGGCAATAGTGCGATCAGTCCTTAATTATCTACATGAAGAATTTCTTTACATGCAACCCTTAGCAATACATTAAATGGTCAAATATTGCCTTTCTGTTTTCCACCCTGAAGAAGTCCCTAAGTGAAAAAACCACCTACAATTTCAAACCCCTTATTGTTATGCTGAACATGTCCATCAATATCATATGGGAGTGCCCCTCTCTAGGATCCTGCTTCTTTTAGAAGAGTAAAAAATACAGCAAAATATCTCTAGGACCAGTGCTATCTGTTTATCTCCACCAACCCTCCATCTAACATTAACTAAAGAGCCAAAATAATAAAATGACCAAACAACACCCTTAACTAAAAATATGTTGCAAACTTGTTTTACAGTGTGATCGAAAAAAAAACACACACAACATTGTGTCCCAGAGTGTGTCCATTATACCAATGTTACCTGATTTCTTATCTGTTCCATTTCATCGATTTGTTGTAACCTCTGTTGTTCATCCCAAACACTCTTTGGTACACCTTCCTTTAAAGAGAACAGTGGTGTTGCTGGTGGTTCAACAACACAATGAAGATTTGTAATTTCACAAGCCCTTTCCTTTGTCAGCAGAAACTGATATAACTTGTAGTGTTGAAAAAAAGTCAGAAATAAGTAATCTATTGCACACTTGAGACTGTTGTCGCCAAAGTACTGAGAACTGCAGGAGACTTCTTCTTTAAACAAAGATATGGCCTCCACGACAGATGTTCCTTCAAGGCAAAAGAAAATGATAAATATTTCTATTAGCTGGAAATGTGCTGCTCAGACCCTGGAACCCATAGCCTTTACCAGACCTACTGCAGTTTTAAAAAATTCTGCTACCCTGAACTAGACTGAACTTCCAAAATTTCTCCCTATCCTAGAGCCACTTTTTTTGCAGAAATCACTGAGGCTTACTGAGGCTTTTGACGCTTTCTTTGCTATTTAACCGAGTTGTGGGTAAATTAAGGTTTGGTGACTTCTTTGTTTTCGGAGTGTCAATTCTCTAGTCTAGACTAGAATTTTCAACCCACTGATCAGTTTCCTACAAAATGATATCCTATTCTAGGCCCAAACCCAGACCATAGGTAATGGATTGGAATGGTTATGAAACCTGTCAGACTCCTTTGTTACATGTCTTTGTGGACCTGACGGTGCACAACGTTTAATACCATTCCTAGCATTTTGATAGTATTGACCAATGGAAACGTCCCATTAATTTATTCCATCACAATTTGCCAACGGAAAACAAAGGATTGTGCATGATCAGGGAGCCTCCAACATAAGCTACAGCACTGTTGTTTTTATCTTTGATGTTTGGTGCCTTTCATTTTACCAGTCCCCTCTAAAAACTATGCCCTGAGACTATTTTAACTGCCTGAAAACCATACGCTTCACAGCAGCACATAAACAAATATCTCATATCATTTACTATTAAAAACTGAAACATTGGATAATGCAATTCTAGAGCTCTGACTGGCTTAGCCATCATGGTATATGAGCCATTGTACCATGTTCTCCAAATATGGTAACTGTACACGTCTGCTCAAAATAATTTATTAAAAAAAAAGTTGAA